GATAGCCGACAGAGTGTATCGTGATCCAGCCTGTACTCCTCTTGACATGCCAGAAAGTATTCTGAGGAAACTACTCCAAGCTTGTACTAAAGAGGCACCCTTCTTGAGCCCGGATGGGCACATGTATAAGCAAGTAGATGGGGTCGCTATGGGTTCTCCCCTAGGTGTCCTGTTTGCAAACTTCTACATGGGTACCATCGAGCAAAAAGTCTTAGTCGACATGAACTTGAAACCGGCCATATACTGCAGGTATGTTGACGACATTTTTACACAGGTACCTGATGTTAGACATCTGCAGGAGCTGAAGGGGGCATTTGAGCAGAGTTCCGTGCTGCGTTTCACTTACGAGACGGAAAAGGATGGGAAGCTGCCTTTTCTAGATGTAACAGTCATGGAAAAGGGCGGAGGTTTCCACACTGCAGTCTACACAAAGGAAACAAACATAGGAATGTGCCTAAATGCCAACAGCGACTGCCCTGACAGGTACAAGAGGAGTGTTGTTAACGCATACGTCGACCGTGCTCTCAGCCACAGCTCAGAATGGAAGCAAGTCGACGAAGAACTCTGTAGGGTAAGGCAGGTTCTAGTCAATAACGGCTTCTCCAATGGTTTCATCGAAGACATCATAAGAAGGAAAGTGAAAAGCCATGCAACCTCCGAAGAGACAACTAACACAACACCTATACCCCCTATTAGACTATTTTACAGGAACTTCTTTTCCACAGCTCATAAAACAGAGGAAAGGGTCCTGAAAGATATTGTTAATAGAAACGTTATCCCTACAGACAAAAATCAGAGGATACAACTGACGATTTACTATAAAACCAGAAAAACGGCCAGCCTACTCATGAGAAACTCTCCAGACACGAAACAGAACGCTTTAAAAGAGACTAACGTCGTCTATGCCTTCAAATGCCCACTTGGGGACTGTAAGCTCCAAAAAACCCAGTATATAGGCAAGACAACAACATCTCTTTCTAGGCGTTTAACGATGCATAAACAACAGGGCTCCATTAAGGAACATATAATCTCTTCCCATAACCAAACCATCGCCAGAGAAATCCTAGTAAACAACACAGAAATCATCGATAGATACAGCGATAGCAGGCGGCTCGACGTTTGCGAGGCACTACACATCAAGAAGTCAACACCAGCAATCAACAGCCAATTATTGCACAACTATATTCTACCCACCTCAAGACTCCGCTCCAATATAGAAGCATCAAGAAATATGGACCAATAGGCTTTCTACAAACACTTCTATTCAATATCCATTGTTTCGTGTTCTGTCTTGTGTTGATACTTTTAATACCCTATTAATATCCTCTAATGCCACATCATCCTTCCCACCTTACTCAAATGTAATGCCACATCACCCTTCCCACCTCACTCAAATGTAGATATAAAACCAGGGAAACGCAAGTTCTAATCAGTTGTGTATTTGTGAAGTCTTTGAAAATGTAATAAGTTTTACGAAACGCGCCCGTGTCGCGTCAGACTAGAAATAAAAATGAATTTTGGAGAAGTGATTTTTGATTTACCTCCAATAGTGAAGCATAATGTACGAAAGATTGAGAAAATTCGTGTTAGAATTATTAATCTTACTTTTTCGGTCATATTTAATAAAATATATATATATATATATATTTATGTCTCTCCTACTCTGAGAGGGTAAGATAGCCGATATAGAAACTAGTGTGTTATTAAGTACTTAACCATTGAAGGTGATTAAGATGCTTTTACAAGCTCAGGTTATATAGTTACATCACATACATTGTATAATTGATACATTACATGGTCAATCTTGGGTACAAGTCCAATACATCAAGTGTTCCAGTATTCATAAGAGTTCATACAGTATTCATACAGAGTTCAGCATACCTCAGCCCAGGAAGGCGAAAGTCAGTCAATATGGGACATTCTACAATATAATGTTCAAGTGAGTGCATATTTTCTTTTTCACAAAGTTGACACATTGTGTACTCGACATTTGGGTTTTGAGAAAGCTGCCAGATACGTCTATATCCCAGGCGTATTCTGGCCACTATAACATCACATTGCCGAGTTCTTGTTCTATTAGTCCCATATGTGAATGTCTCCTCACGATATCTATCATAATATTTAATGCTACAACTTTCAGGTCTTTGTGAATTTGTTAGGTCGGTGAAATTTTCATTGAATATTTGTTTAAGTATTCTCTTTGTCACTGCTAATGAAATACCCATATCAATTTCTACCACTGGCTTTCTGCAGGCTGTCTTTGCAAGCATATCAACAGTGCCATGCCTTGTCACGTATTCACCAACTAATACGTAATTCTACCAACTAACCCCTCCATCATCCTCAAAAAATCACAACCACCACCCACTAACATCAACAACAACACCCACTAACACCACCACCACCTCTCACTACCACCACCAGCCGCTACGACCACTACCACCACCCACTACCACTGTCACAGCCCGGCCCGTAATGCCGTGTCACGTGTGTGGGCGTGTCCTCCAGGCCAGGGCGGTTGTCCTATGGTTAGTTACACGTGTTGGTCCTCTAGGGGCTCATGATTAATCTTAGCCTGCTGGTAAAGCTCATGCCAATTCCCAAAGGAGCATAGAAACATCTAGGTACAGTAACAAAATTATATATATATATATATATATATATATATATATATATATATATATATATATTATATATATATTTACAAATTTTCGCATTTGTGTTGCTCACGTGGCCCCCCAAAAATGAGGTGATTTAATAAAATACTATGCCCAAGATTACAATCAGAGCGCCGTCGGGATGATGGGCAAATAGCCTCGGCTACTATCATCTTTTGTACGGTCGTGATGGTCGAGCGGTTAAGGTCTCCTGTACACCAGTTGCATAGTGCTCTTGGCAGTATGGGTTCGAGTCACTTCTGGGGTGTGGAGTTTTCAGTTGCATATATACCTGGGGACCATTCAGGCTTGTTCGCATAATTACAAATAAATAAAATCATATAACAATTCAGTAAACAGTAAAATTGCATCGTCTTCGTTCCATATTCCATATTCGGTCTCTAAAATGAGCCTCACATCCCCCTATCTCACATGTCTCAAATCCCCCCGGCTTATCTTGCCTCCTCTTCCATCCTGTCACTTTCTTTATTGTATGTGTATCTTGCCTACTTTCTCTCTCAATTAGTGTCTCGGCCTTTCCTCGAAATCTATTCCCCCGTAGTTCTGGATCTAAATATGCACTGGGGCTGCATACTTTGGGATTAATCTCACGAACGTGGTGTAAAGATTTCTGAACGATTCGAATAGGTAAGTCAGGCAAAAATATTGTCGTCGTTAAAGTTATGTTGTTTAAGTAATCCTAGTCTGTGAAGTACCTTGCAGGGTGTGTGTAGTTAACACCAGCTTAAGCACCTCCTGCCTCTCCCATTGCTTGTATGTCCCGCATATGTTGTCTCAACCCGTTCTCGCACTTTCTTACAGTCATTATTGACTTATTTAATACGTGCATATGTGACATACTAAAACATACTAGTTTACCTTGAAAAGCTTCATAGAAAACACCGACCTTACCTAACCTTCTTAGTATGTTAAAATAAGCATCTTATTGCTTCGCAATTACAATTATTACTCAACCTATTCCTATAATAGGTTAAGTAATAATTGTAATTACGAAGCAATAAGATGCTTATCTTAACATACTAAGAAGGTTAGGTAAGGTCGGTGTTTTCTATGAAGCTTTTCAAGGTAAACTAGTATGTTTTAGTATGTCACATATGCACGTATTTAATAAGTCAATATTGACCATACGAAAGTGCGAGAACGGGTTGGTTGTCTTCAAGTTCAGGAACTCACTCTCTCGAGCACGAGATAAAGAGCTAAATCAGAAGTATCCTAAAAACATGTGCAATTTTGTTCAATATACATTGTAATATGTTGTGTAGCAGTAATGTATTCCATTCATCTTGGTCATATTATGGCGCATCTCGTGCTGTGTGTGAGCCGTGTTCTCCATGGTCACGCGTCATAAGCCAGCCTTCTGGTGTAATGCCAGTTGTCTTATAATTAAAGTTGGTAATTCTCACAGCCGCTCTGAAGCCTAGCCCCGTTAAACTTTTATTTCACTTTACTATCTTTAACATATGAAGTTCAAGTTCAAGTATGTTTATTGAGATAAGCAAGAAATACATCTCAAAGGGATAGAGTAGCTTAGGCTATTTCTACCCCCTTGACATATAATAGTATACAAAAATATATTCATATGTGGTGCACATATATTTATAATACATTAACGCCGATGCAAGACGGCAGCGATGGGCTTCCATAGGCCACTAAACTGTACTGCTTACATTAGGGAGCCTTACGACCAGATTTAAGAGAGTAAACTGGAACACTGCAACAGTAACGTTGGCCTGGGCGTATGCCTGGCCAGAGCTACACTACCCACGAAGGGACGAGGACCAACCATTACCCGAGGACAATATTATACCTGAAGCCGTAGAGCGCGCCACTGCCTTAATACACCCGCTTCACCCCAAGCTTTATGAACCATCAGCATGGACAAGTTTTAATATAGAGTGAGGGCGGGCAGCCCCTCGCCCAAACTTGCTCCCAAATCACCACTACACAAACGCTGTGTCCGGTTATGGCCAGTTAACACGACAGTCACCAGGTATCACCCCGTTAACTCCCACACTCGTTCACACATGTCGCTAATACTCCCTAAACTACACAACTATTTATGACCATCATAAGAGGGCGTTGCCACGGGGTACCGAGAGCTTGTATAGATCTGCCCGCCTGTTGTAAGCGCTTATGGCCAATTACACAACAATTAACGAGATATGGGAGGGCCGGGTTTAATATCCGTCGGCGTACGGGTTATACACCCCTAGCGCCACCTGTGGCGTCTCCGTACTCTCCTGTCATCGATTAGGTTAGGGTTTCTCCCTTAGTGTGGCCGAGTAATTAGTGGCCAGATGTGAGGGGATGTGGCGGCCAGTGTCAAACACAGCATCGTGATTTACTGCTACTAGTTCCAGGCGTTCCTCCACCCTTGGCTCTAGGCGTTCCTCCACATTCACCCTTGGCTCTAGGCGTTCCTCCACATTCACCCTTGGCTCTAGGCGTTCCTCCACATTCACCCTTGGCTCTAGGCGTTCCTCCACATTCACCCTTGGCTCTAGGCGTTCCTCCACATTCACCCTTGGCTCTAGGCGTTCCTCCACATTCACCCTTGGCTCTAGGCGTTCCTCCACATTCACCCTTGGCTCTAGGCGTTCCTCCACATTCACCCTTGGCTCTAGGCGTTCCTCCACATTCACCCTTGGCTCTAGGCGTTCCTCCACATTCACCCTTGGCTCTAGGCGTTCCTCCACATTCACCCTTGGCTCTAGGCGTTCCTCCACATTCACCCTTGGCTCTAGGCGTTCCTCCACATTCACCCTTGGCTCTAGACGTTCCTCCACATTCACCCTTGGCTCCAGGCGTTCCTCCACATTCACCCTTGGCTCCAGGCGTTCCTCCACATTCACGCTTGTCACCAGCGATGCTGGATTTCGTATTCATCAAGAAGGAAGATATTCTACATTCAGTACCTTCGTCACTTGGGTAAGAGCAACCATGTACTTTTGGAAATAAAATATGCAATGCGTTATAATCTAGAAGAGAATGAAGAAACAAGTTGAAAAACGTGATTTCAGGAGAGAACACTTTGGGAACTTGGAAAGTTCCATGATGAATTTGATCGGAAAGTCTAGTTGTTAGGGTGACCAAACCACACACTAGAAAGTGAAGGGATTGTCGATTGTGATCGACAATCGACTTGAGAATGGTCCAGGACGGACCGAAACGTCGTCGTCCCTTCACTTTCTAGTGTGTGGTTTGGTCAATATATTTCAGCCACGTTATTGTGACTCCTCGTTTTGTTGTTAGGCATGCAAGTAAATGTGATGTATGCCTAAGTTGTGTGATATATATGATGAAGACACAAAGATTTACACTAAAGCATGTCTTTTCACTTGGGGTGGACGGTAGAGCGACGGTCTCGCTTCATGCAGGTCGGTGTTCCATCCTCGACCGTCCAAGTGGTTGGGCACCATTCCTTTTCCCCGTCCCATCCCAAATCCTCATCCTAACCCCTTCTAAGTGCAATATAGTCGTAATGGCTTGGCGCCTGTGACGGACCTCAGCGCCATCTATGATCCAGGTGCCGAACTGTAACAGTTGACCCCTCACATTAATCTTAGTTTCCCATCTTCTAGTTGGCTGGGCTGGAAGGTGACGACCAACCAGGGACAGGCGATGGAGGTCAGTGAAGCCAGGACAGTGGACGAATAATAGGGTCGACCTGAAGGTACTAGCCAGTGGGGCTAGTTGAGCGCTGTGGACTTTGCTGATTGAGCGTACCAGCGAGTGCGCTACGGAGGGGGAGTGCTTGAAGGCTTCTCCATAACTGCTGCTAGCATAAGCGCTAGTGGCGCGTTGAAGACCTCGTCAGAGGCATACAGTGTCAGTCATCCGTGAAGCAGGCTAGCGTGAGGGCTAGTGACGCCGCTGTAGATGACCTCACTTATAGAATTGTACATATTAATTGAAATAAGTTTATTGAGGTAAAATACACACAAAGGGATGAGGTTGCTCAAGCTATTCTCACCCCGTCGTACATATTAATGGTGAAGGGTAATAATAAAGGGTTATTTTAAGTGCTATTCTTTTTAGTTACCTTAAACATTACACTATATTTCCACCAAGGTTAGGGTCCTCCGAACTTGAGTGGGATCATAGTTAAAAAATAACTCTCTTACGAAGGATTCGTAACAGCGCTTTCTCCTGATAGTTCCCTTCCCTTACACTAAAACAGATGCAGGAATATAAAACATAAGAACATATGAATAAAGGTAACTGCAGAAGGCCTATTAGGCCCATACGAGGCAGCTCCTATTTATAACCACTCAATCCCACTCATATACATGTCCAGGATTGGTTCAACAGGAATTGCAGGAGGGCCAAAGAACAAATGGAATCAATATTGGAAGAGTCAAAACCTTCACAAACCAGCAATACAAAGCAGCGAGAAACAATATTTTAATGAGAAATAGATGGGAAAAAATGAGAACGTCAATGAAAAAAGCAGAAATATATTTTTTTAGAAAGGGAGAGTGGACAAATGAGACACAGAACCAGGCCTCTTCTATGAATTCACTATAATCAAATTGCAGGTAAAGGACAAAATTCAAAGGTTAAAAATGGGAAACAGATTCACATGAAAATTAAAAGGAAATGTGAACCATTAAACGGACAGTTCCACAGTATGTTTGTGTAAAATGAAGTTTTCAGAGTACTAACACAATACGAATTTCAGACAATAACAGAACGTATAGAAGTGTCTCGAACAAAGTGGAAAAATACCCAAGGAGCTAAGTAGCAACAAAGCAGTTGCGCAGATGGAATTTCACCTTGGGTTATGAGAGAATGCGCCTCTGAGCTTAGCACCCCTCTTCAATTGATTTGTCAATCATCTTTGTGTACAGGAGTCTAGGCTGATATATGGAAAAAGGTAAACATATAGTTCCAATCTACAAAAATGGTAGCGGTGAAGACTCTCTAAATAATAGACCCGTTTTGTTTACAAGCGTAGCAGTCAAAACACTAGAAAAATAATTAACACCAAATGGGTTGAACACCTGGAGAGAAATGACATAATAACAGACAGTATGGTTTTCGATCAGGAAGATCCTGTGTTAACAAATCAACTTCGTTTCTATAATAGAGCCACAAAGTTTTCAAGGAAAGAAATGGTTTGGTTGACTTCATTTTTCTGAACTTAAAAAATGGCTTCCACATAAGAGGTTGTTCTGGAAACTGGAACATGCTGGAGGAAACTTCTGACATGGATGAACAATTTTCCGGCAGAAAAATGAGGACAGTAATCAGAGGCAATGTATCAAACTGAGAAGTATCACTAGTGGAGTACCACAGGGATCAATTCTAGCACCAATAATGTTTATCATCTATATAAACGATTTACCAAAAGAAATACAGAATTATATGAAAATGTTTGCTGATGATGCGAAGCAACTAGGGAAGATAAGCAGCTTACCCTGGAAACACAAACCGAAACTGTCTCTATTTTCCGCTTGTTACAACTTGTAATAAAGTTGTTACATCTTGGCTTAACGTGTTTATGACGTATTAGAACGTTGTTACAACTTGCTATATTGGTTGTTATAACTGGTGAGGAGGTGTTAAAACTTGTTCGAACGTTGTACCAACGTCGTAGTTTCGGTGTGTGTTTGGCGGGTAGACGATTGTCTTGCCGTCAAGAAGACCTGGACAAAGTGTGTGGAGCAACACTTGACAGATGGAACTTAATGTGAATAAATGCCACGTTGTGGAATGTGGAATAGGAGAAAATGACACACTCAACCTGCAAATTGAGTGAAAAAGCATTAAAAGAATTCTGATATTAAGAGATATCTAGAGGTGGTTCTGGATACAAAAATTGTCACCTGAGGATAAAATAAAGAGCATTGTGCGAGGGAGGATATGCTATGCGTTCCAATTTTTGAATCGCTTTAAATACATGAATGGCGTCATAATAAAAGAAATTATTTACGACCTTTGTGAGACCGAAGTTGGAATATGCTGCAGTTGTATGGTGCCTATATCTTAAGAAGCATCAATAAACTAGACAAGGTGCAAAGACACGCAACTAAAGGCCTTCCGGAACTGAAAAATACAAGGAGAGATTAGAGGCGTCAAATATTCCAAAGCTACAAGATTGGACAAAAACATGTATAATCACTACTTACAAAATAGTAACAGGATTCGATCAAATTGCCAAAGAAGAATTTTTGAAAACTGGAACGTCAAGAGCAAGAGGAAATAGGTTCAAACTAACTAAACAAAGCTGCCGAAGAAATATAAGAAAATTCACTTTCGTAAACAGAGTGGTAGACGTCTGGAGCAAGTGAGGTGATGGATGAGGCCAAACCCGTCAGTAGTTTCAAAGCGTTATACGACAGTGCTGGGAAGACGGGACACCACCACCACAGCTCTCATCCCGTAATTACACTTAGGTAATTACACTCTTACACACACACACACACACACACACACACACACACACACACACACACACACACACACACACACACACAGATGGAATGCATTAGGCAGTGATGTGGTGGAGGCTGACTCCATACACAGTTTCAAATGTAGATATGATAAGAGCCCAGTAGGCTCAGGAACCTGTACACCAGTTGAGAGGCGGGACCAATGAGCCAAAGCTCAACCACCGCAAGCACAAATAGGTGAGTACACACACACACACTCAACTATTACTCGCAGCGGAGTGGACAGCTCTCGCGGGTCGTAGTTCAAAGGGACCCAGGTTCGATTCCAGGCCGAGGCCAAAAACAAATCGATAGTTTATTTACCCTAATGCCTCTCTTCACCTACGGGCTGCATCCTAGAGGTGTGTGTGTGTGTGTGTACTCACCTAGTACTTACCTAGTTGTGTCTGCAGGATCGAGCATTGACTCTTGGAACCCGCCTTTCGAGCATCGGTTGTTTACAGCAATGACTCCTGTCCCATTTCCCTATCATACCTGGTTTTAAAATTATGAATAGTATTTGCTACCACAACCTGTTCCTGAAGTGCATTCCATTTTCCCACTACTCTCACGCTAAAAGAAAACTTCCTAACATCTCTGTGACTCATCTGAGTTTCAAGCTTCCATCCATGTCCCCTCGTTCTGTTACTATTCCGTGTGAACATTTCGTCTATGTCCACTCTGTCAATCCCTCTGAGTATCTTATACGTTCCTATCAGGTCCCCCCCTCTCCCTTCTTCTTTCTAGTGTCGTAAGGCACAGTTCCCTCAGGCGCTCCTCATACCCCATCCCTCGTAGCTCTGGGACGAGACTCGTTGCAAACCTCTGAACCTTTTCCAGTTTCATTATATGCTTCTTCAGATGGGGACTCCATGATGAGGCGGCATACTCTAAGACTGGCCTTACGTAGGCAGTGTAAAGCGCCCTAAATGCCTCCTTACTTAGGTTTCTGAATGATGTTCTAACTTTTGCCAGTGTAGAGTACGCTGCTGTCATTATCCTATTTATATGTGCCTCAGGAGATAGGTTAGGTGGTACGTCCACCCCCAGGTCTCTTTCACGCGTCGTCAGAGGTAGGCTGTTCCCCTTCATTGTGTACTGTCCCTTTGGTCTCCTATCTCCTAGTCCCATTTCCATAACTTTACATTTGCTCGTGTTGAATTCCAGTAGCCATTTCTCTGACCATCTCTGCAACCTGTTCAGGTCCTCTTGGAGGATCCTGCAATCCTCATCTGTCACAACTCTTCTCATCAACTTTGCGTCATCCGCAAACATCGACATGTAGGACTCTACGCCTGTAAACATGTCGTTAACATATACAAGAAATAGAATTGGTCCCAGCACCGATCCTTGTGGTACTCCACTTGTTACTGTTCGCCAGTCCGACTTCTCGCCCCTTACCGTAACTCTTTGGCTCCTTCCTGTTAGGTAGTTCCTTATCCATGCTAGGACCTTTCCCCCCTAGTTTGTGTGTGTGTGTGTGTGTGTGTGTGTGTGTGTGTGTGTGTGTGTGTGCGTGCGTGTGTGTGTGCGTGTGTGTGTGTGTGTGTGTGTGTGTGTGTGTGTGTGTGCGCGTGTGGGTGTGTGTGTGTGTACTCACCTAGTTGTGTTTGCGGGGGTTGAGCTCTGCCTCTTTGGTCCCGCCTCTCAACCGTCAATCAACTGGTGTACAGATTCCTGAGCCTACTGGGCTCTGTCATATCTACATTTGAAACTGTGTATGGAGTCAGCCTCCACCACATCACTTCCTAATGCATTCCATTTACTATCTACTCTGATACTGAAAAAGTTCTTTCTAATGTCTCTGTGGCTCATTTGGGTACTCAGCTTCCACCTGTGTCCCCTTGTTCGCGTCCCTCCAGTGTTGAATAGTTCATCCTTGTTCACCCGGTCGATTCCCCTGAGGATTTTGTAGGTTGTGATCATGTCCCCCCTTACTCTTCTGTCTTCCAGTGTCGTAAGGTGCATTTCCCGCAGCCTTTCCTCATAACTCATGCCTCTTAGTTCTGGGACTAGTCGAGTAGCATACCTTTGAACTTTTTCCAGCTTCGTCTTGTGCTTGACAAGGTACGGGCTCCATGCTGGGGCCGCATACTCCAGGATTGGTCTTACATATGTGGTGTACAAGATTCTGAATGATTCCTTACACAGGTTCCTGAACGCTGTTCTGATGTTAGCCAGCCTCACATATGTCGCTGACGTTATTCTCTTTATGTGGGCTTCAGGAGACAGGTTTGGTGTGATATCAACTCCTAGATCTTTCTCTCTGTTCGTTTCATTAAGTACTTGATCTCCTATTCTGTATCCTGTGTCTGGCCTCCTGTTTCCACCGCCTAGTTTCATTACTTTGTGTGTGTGTTCATTACTTTCATTACTATGTGTGTGTGTGTGTGTGTGTGTTAGATAAAAATATATGTAGTAAATATGATAGAGGGGAAAATAGGTCTGGAGTCAGTACATTAGACAACGGAGAGGTGCAAATAAAGAATCCAAGAGCTAAACTCTCGATCCTGCAGGAACAAACAGTATATATGAACAGTAAACACACACACCTGGTCGGCCTGGTAGCCTGGTGGATAGCGTGCAGGACGGCGTAATTCTGTGGCGCAGGTTCGATTCCCGCACGAGGCAGAAACAAATGGGCAAAGTTTCTTTCACCCTGAATGCCCCTGTTACCTAGCAGTAAATAGGTGCCTGGGAGTTAGTCAGCTGTCACGGGCTGCTTCCTGGGGTGTGTGTGTGTGTGTGTGGTGGAAAAAAAAGTAGTTAGTAAACAGTTGATTGACTGTTGAGAGGCGGGCCGAAAGAGCAAAGCTCAACCCCCGCAAACACAACTAGGTGAATACACACACACACACACACACACACACACACACACACACACACACACACACACACACACACACACACACACACACACACACACACACCCGGCGTGAACACGAGGCTCCAGCACCAACGGCCACCATCACTAAGGGTCAGTAACCACAACCCCAACTCGAGCCACCACATCAACCCCATTACATTAAAGCCATTCCTGGACAATTAAAACATTAACTCAACAGTCCGGGATTTGTTAGAATAATAACCGGCAAGATGCAGCTCATTAAAACTCACGCACTGGTACAGGTACAGGTACAGGTACAGTAGCCTAAATAGGTGACTTTTTGGGCGAATAAAAAAAAATTAGCGTCTGGTCAAAAAGCGACATGTACGATGATGTAATATTTCTGACGGATAAATTTGTGTATACGAAGGAATTTTGTATTTTTTTTTCAACTTTATTTCCTTCCTTGCCACCCACAACGTGTTGCACATGGATACAAACACACACATACATCCTGTACATACACGCATACAACATACGTAAGCACACGTATATACATGTATGTTTATAAACACAAGCACATAAACAAGGTCAATTTTAGCCTTTTTGTTCTCCCTCTTATAAAACAGCCGCCAGAAGATCATTGTATAACGGAAAGAGGGAGGGACTAGCAATCTGGTACTGATTAGTTACGGTACTATGATATCTATTGCTTCAACCTGTGAACACACTTAGAATGATCTGCCCAGAGTGAATATTACCTGATACTTAGGTGGAAACACTAGTGTATATATATATCCATCCGATAGCCAAGCGTCTATCATACTGTTACATATCTGTCCATTCGATAGCCTAGCGTCTATCACGCTGTTACATATCTGTCCATCCGATAGCCTAGCATCTATCACACTGTTACATATCTGTCCATCCGATAGCCTTGCGTCTATCACACTGTTACATATCTGTCCATTCGATAGCCTAGCGTCTATCACACTGTTACATATCTGTCCATCCGATAGCCTTGACCCTAGACAATCTACTGTCTGTTACTACTGTGTTCACACATATGACAGGATCTTGCAGTTACTTCCCTTAAACACTGAACAATGGTACTGTTGGTGGGATAATGGCGTACATGATAGTGTCTAAAACCTTGGAAAAGTGTACCCTATAACGTCACCGCTACTAATTAAGCACACACACATAATTAACGTAACGTAACGTAACCCAATCCAACATAACCTATCCTAACAAAAATATATAAAACGTGTTGTTTCATATATGGTGAGCATGAGATGTTTTACGTCCCTATGACGTCATAATGTAGACATTCTACATTATGTATTTCATAATTTCATTTCATATATATACAGGTTTTATACCCTACTGGTACACGGAGGAAAATCAAAACACTGTCCATCGCGGAAATGAATAAATATATAGAAGCGTTCCTGGCGTATACGAGCGCTTTGTAACGTAACACCTGTAACGTAACACTTTGTAATGTAACTATTATCAGTAACACGACTCAATTCCATAACGGACCGGTACAAAATTCCTGATTACGTACCTTTAAAACTAATTAATTGTTGAGCAAATAGTACACGAAAAGTAAAAACAAAAATCAGAAACAAAAGACAAAATTTTAAAATAAAAACAACAAAAATTCACAAATACATTTGCAGTGACGATGTTATCACACCAACGATATGCGGTAAGGGACGGACGGTTATCTGCCGAACACTGCATGGCACGTGTTCCATGGCACGTGTTCCATGGCACGTGTTCCATGGCACGTGTTCTCCACCACAGCATCTCTTGTCGTGGATGTGTTCTCCACCACAGCATCTCTCGTCGTGGATGTGTTCTCCACCACAGCATCTCTCGTTGTGGGTGTGTTCTCCACCACAGCATCTCTCGTCGTGGATGTGTTCACCACCACAGCATCTCTTGTCGTGGGTGTGTTCACCACCACAGCATCTCTTGTCGTGGGTGTGTTCTCCACCACAGCATCTCTCGTCGTGGGTGTGTTCTCCACCACTGCATCTCTCGTCGTGGATGTGTTCTCCACCACAGCATCTCTCGTCGTGGATGTGTTCACCACCACAGCATCTCTTGTCGTGGGTGTGTTCACCACCACAGCATCTCTCGTCGTGGGTGTGCTCACCACCACAGCATCTCTCGTCGTGGATGTGTTCACCACCACAGCATCTCTTGTCGTGGGTGTGTTCACCACCACAGCATCTCTCGTCGTGGGTGTGTTCACCACCACAGCATCTCTCGTCGTGGATGTGTTCACCACCACAGCATCTCTCGTCGTGGATGTGTTCACCACCACAGCATCTATCGACATGGATGTGTTCACCACCACAGCATCTATCGACATGGATGTGTTATCCATCACAGCATGTCTCAACACAACATGCTCTCAGCCCCAGCACCTCTCAACACAACATCAAGGCCTGCAACACATTTGCCTACACACCAACAACACGTCCTCCACCACATTATGTTCTACCACTACAGCCAAGATGTCAGGTGTGGTCAGACTGCTACAGATCACTTCAGCATCACCTCACTACCAACATGACCATTAGTACGGTAAAACACTGATTAATTGGGTGCTTACTTTGGGCCAGGCGCTCCCTTCCCTCCACCCTCCTAGCTATTGCTGTTATCATAGTCACTTCCATTTTATTTCTCCCTCCTTCTATATGTCCCTCTCTTTCCTTCCTTCCCTGTTTCCCTCCCTCCCTCCCTCCCTGTCTTTCACTTAGGTCTCGTTTACTAGTTCAACACCCCCCCCCCTCCTGTAATGCTGGGTTCTGTAATAAGAGTTATTAAAGAGTCAGGATGGTCGTGTTTATGGCAGCGGCCTTAATATGAAAGAACAGTGGCGTCTGCTCCTTTTTTGGCAAGACGAAGAACAGTAGGGATGAGGAACTAACCAAACCAGACGAAGAACAGTAGAGATGGGGAAACCAAACCAGTTCCTCATCTAACAAACCAGTTTGTTAGATGAGGAACTAACAAACTTTGTACCTTGCTGAGCTGGGCAGCAAGGTACAAAGGGAGATGTTGTCTCCAGGAACTGGACACCGGACACAACGGAAGAACTGGAAACCGAGGCAGCAGTTGGCTGCCACATTATGGTGATCTAGGACTCTGAGGACACAGATTGGGACTCAGGCTCTTCTGGGTAATGTTGCCCCCCCCCCCCCCCTGAGTGTTTTTGTTCTACCGCGAGTTTCCATCAAGTGAAGGTCCATCACCTTCAGAAGCGTGTTTCCCCTCAGTTCCCAGTTGAATAATAGTTTTGTTTATATTAAATGTGGATTTCTTATTCCCAAAATGAGAGTAAAGCTTAATAAGACTTATATTAGTATTAACAACAGATTAAAAATGAAGACAAAGAATAATTTATAAAAATATTAAATGAGACAACAGAGGAAAAGAAAAATCAAGACATTTAATTATACGTAATAAATTAATATGTGTGTATTGTATTGCAATATGTGTGTCTTGTAATTAATATAAATTAATATAAGTGTATATTGCAATCAATTCCCTTTACTTTGCACCCCATTCATCTTATTCCTCCTACTCCACTTTCTTTCGGTAAATATCTCTTAATCCTTTACAACAATGACAAGATATTGTATGAAGTGCCCTCTCTACCTGCACCTTCCACCAGCGTCTTCAACCTCAACCCAATCATTTACAGGTGTGTCTCACTTTCCTCACTGTTAGTTATTTGGTTTTAGTCTCTCCTTCATCCGTTCCCATCACTAACTGCTTCCAGACCCTCCTTGTACTTCCCTCCATCCCTGCTACTTCCAGACCCTCCTTGTACTTCCCTCCATCCCTGCTACTTCCAGACCCTCCATATTCTTCCCTCCATCCCTGCTACTTACAGACCCTCCATATTCTTCCCTCCATCCCTGCTACTTCCAGACCCTCCTTGTACTTCCCTACATCCCTGCTACTTCCAGACTCTCCTTGTACTTCCCTCCATCCCTGCTACTTCCAGACCCTCCTTGTACTTCCCTCCATCCCTGCTACTTCCAGACCCTCCTTGTACTTCCCTCCATCCCTGCTACTTCCAGACCCTCCATATTCTTCCCTCCATCCCTGCTACTTCCAGACCCTCCTTGTACTTCCCTCCATCCCTGCTACTTCCAGACTCTCCTTGTACTTCCCTCCATCCCTGCTACTTCCAGACCCTCCTTGTACTTCCCTCCATCCCTGCTACTTCCAGACTCTCCTTGTACTTCCCTTCATCCCTGCTACTTCCAGACTCTCCTTGTACTTCCCTCCATCCCTGCTACTTCCAGACCCTCCATATTCTTCCCTCCATCCCTGCTACTTCCAGACCCTCCTTGTACTTCCCTCCATCCCAACTACTTCCAGACCCTCCTTGTACTTCCCTCCATCCCTACTACTTCCAGACCCTCCTTGTACTTCCCTCCATCCCTGCTACTTCCAGACCCTCCATATTCTTCCCTCCATCCCTGCTACTTCCAGACCCTCCATATTCCTCCCTTCGTCCCTGCTACTTCCAGACCCTCCATATTCTTCCCTCCATCCTTGCTACTTCCAGACCCTCCATATTCCTCCCTTCGTCCCTGCTACTTCCAGACCCTCCATATTCCTCCCTTCGTCCCTGCTACTTCCAGACCCTCCTTATACTTCCCTCCATCCCTGCTACTTCCAGACCCTCCACACTCTTCCCTCCATCCCTGCTACTTCCAGACCCTCCATATTCTTCCCTTCATCCCTGCTACTTCCAGACCCTCCTTGTACTTCCCTCCATCCCTGCTACTTCCAGACCCTCCTTATACTTCCCTCCATCCCCGCTACTTCCAGACCCTCCATATTCTTCCCTCCATCCCTGCTACTTCCAGACCCTCCTTATACTTCCCTCCATCCCTGCTACTTCCAGACCCTCCATATTCTTCCCTCCATCCCTGCTACTTCCAGACCCTCCTTATACTTCCCTCCATCCCTGCTACTTCCAGACCCTCCACACTCTTCCCTCCATCCCTGCTACTTCCAGACCCTCCACACTCTTCCCTACATCCCTGCTACTTCCAGACCCTCCACACTCTTCCCTCCATCCCTGCTACTTCCAGACCCTCCATATACTTCCCTCCTCCAGCTCCCTCCGCCACCATTACTCTCCAGGCTGTAGGAGGGCCACACTGCCACAAATTAATGGGACACTTTTATTGCCGGCAGCAAACATTAAAATTACCGCCCACTCCTTCACGTTCCTTGTTTCTCCAAGTTTCCTCCTGCTAGTTCTCCTTCGTTTTCTTCCTCTGCTTCTTGGGTTTGTACCTCTTTCTTGTAGCAGCATCCTCTTTAGGCTCTTCCCTCTTCCACGTGATAGCATTCTCCTCTTCCTTGTAGGTGCTTTTCTGTCTTACTCATGTTTCTTGAAGCATCCTCGTCGCTCTCATCCGCCCACTCTCCTTGGGGCAGCATCCGTCTCCCCGACACACTCTCCCTCATAGCTTAAAGAGGTTGCTAGTAGGCAAAGACGTTTATTTGTTGTTTCAGTTTTTTGTGTGTAGTTGTTTGGCCATGTGCTTGCGTTCGTTTGAGCGTGTTTTTTTCCGTGTGGATTTATGCGCGTGGCTGTGTGCGCGGATTGGTGTTCAACGACATGTTGATCTTAAATAATACTGGCTAGAATTCACATTAAACTTGGGCTGTTGTACTTGTCATAACCGATAAAGAGAGGTGTAGGGCCCTGAAACTCCCCCGCCTGATACTCCCCCGCCTGATACTCCCTCGCCTGATACTCCCCCGCCTGATACTCCCCCGCCTGATACTCCCTCGCCTGATACTCCCCCGCCTGACACCATCTCGCCAAGTACCACTCCGCCTGATACTCCCTCGCCTGATACTCCACCGCCTGATACTCCACCGCCTGATACTCCACCGCCTGATACTCCACCGCCTGATACTCCCCCGCCTGACACCACCCCGCCAAGTACCATCCCGCCTGATACTCCCCCGCCTGACACCACCCCGCCAAGTACCACCCCGCCTGATACTCCCCCGCCTGACACCACCCCGCCAAGTACCACCCCGCCTGATACTCCCTCGCCTGATACTCCCCCGCCTGACACCACCCCGCCAAGTACCACTCCGCCTGATACTCCCTCGCCTGATACTCCCCCGCCTGACACCACCCCGCCAAGTACCACTCCGCCTGATACTCCCCCGCCTGACACCACCCCGCCAAGTACCACTCCGCCTGATACTCTGCTTCACCACCTTCCACAACACACAAACGACTCCTTCATTACACGCTGAAGGCCACATTATACACACATTAATTTTTCCCATAAGAAACACAAGAAGGTGAACAAATCGCTTCCCATCATCGTTCCAGCGTCTGCTCCGCGGGTGTGTGTGTGATGAGTCTGCCACAGTGTGTGTGTGTGTGTGTGTGTGTGTGTGTGTGTGTGTGTGTGTGTGTGTGTGTGTGTGTGTGTGTGTGTGTGTGTGTGTGTCCCCCCTATATCTGTGCCTGCAGGATCGACCTTCAGCTCTTGAACCCTGGCCTTCGGCCGTTCTATACAATGCCTCCGGACCTTCATGTACGAATATCCTATCTACGCTGGAAACGTGGTTGGAGTTGGCTGGTGTTATCTCCTCGTGTGGTAAATTACCTCACATTCCAATGGCTTATCTCTTCTTAAGTCTTCCTCCATCTTCATGACTTCTTAAGTCATCGTTCTTAAGTCTTCGCTTATTGTTCTAATTCACTCCAAAAGGTGTTTTTCCACCGTCTCCATTCTCCTAGGAGTTTTGTATGTACACATCCTGACTATTATCTCTCAGCTCTTCTCTAGCGTTACTAGGTGCTGTTCATTCAACACTTTTCCGTGTCCAATCACCCGTAGTACGGGGAGGAATTACACGCCTGGGTGCACACCGCTGCCTGTGATCTGACATAGGTGTGCTTGTAGAGTCGGGGGAGAGGGAGATGGGTGAGAGAGAGAGAGAGAGAGAGAGAGAGAGAGAGAGAGAGAGAGAGAGAGAGAGAGAGAGAGAGAGAGAGAGAGAGAGAGGGGGGGGGAGAGGGAAAGGGAAGAGAGGGGAAGAGAGGGGGAGAGAGGGGAAGCGGAAAAGAGGGAGAGAGTGGTAGGGGGGATTGGGAAGGGGTAGGGTGGGGGAAGGAGGGAGAAAGAGGAGGGGAGGAGAGAACGAGGGGCGGGGGAGAGGGGGAGGGGAGGAGAGGAGGGGGGGCGGAGGAGGGGAGGGGGGGCGGAGGAGAGGAGGGGGGACGGGGGAGAGGGCGAGGTTACTTGGTTGATGGGGTTCTGGGAAATGTTCTACTCCCCAAGCCCGGCCCGAGTCCAGGCTTCACTTGTGAGAGTTTGGTCCACCAGGCTGTTGCTTGGAGCGGCCCGCAAGCCCACATACCCACCACAGCCCGGTTGGTCCGGCACTTCTCGAAGGAACTATCTAGTTTTCTCTTGAAGATGTCCACGGTTGTTCCGGCAATATTTCTTGTGCTCGATGGATGTTGAACAACCGCGGACCTCTGATGTTTATACAGTGTTCTCTGATTGTGCCTATGGCACCTCTGCTCTTCACTGGTTCTATTCTGTATTTTCTCCATATCGTTCACTCCAGTATGTTGTTATTTTACTGTGTAGATTTGGGACCTGGCCCTCCTGAATTTTCCACGTGTATATTATTTGGTATCTCTCTCCTGCTCTGAAGGGTGAAGTGAGTATGGAGCAATACCCAAGGCGGGTCAGGGCAAGTGATTTGAATTGTGTGAGCATTGTGACTTGATTCCTGGATTTAAAGGTTCTCATAACCTATCCTATCATTTTTCTAGCTGACGCAATATTTGCTTGGTTATGCTCCCTAAACTTTTAGGTCGTCAGACATCATTATCCTCAGATCCTTTACATGATACTTTTCTTACTGTTGTGTTTTGTACCTGCTATTTTGGTTGTGTTAATTTTTACCGCACCGAACGACTAGAATTTATCAGTTAACCCATCATGATATTTTTTGATTGGCCAATCAAAGCTATTAATATCAGCTTGTAGTTCTTCAGATTTTCTACAGTAGTAATTTTGACAAAGCTGTTCCATGGAGCTGTGACTTTTTTTTTATCTGTAGCTGATATGAGAAAGGAAAAATAATTGGAAAGGATGTACCCTGAGGTACAAAGCTTTTCAATGTGTTTCTACTTGATTTTATTTGATTAACTATTACTTTTTACTTTGACATAATTTATTATCCAATACCCTACTTAACCTGTTATTCCTATTTACCTCATTTTATAGGATATTAATCTATGGCCGCATTTATGAAATGCTTTAGCAATGTCTATGTATACCACATCTGCATTCTGTTTTATTTCTAATGCATCAGTGATTATCAGTTGTCGAGTAGCCCCGAAAGGCACGATCCGCCCGCTCTTAATCCATGTTGGCCAGGGTTGTGGAGGTCATTGGTCTCCATACAACTGGAAATTTGATTCCTGATCGCTCGATCAAAAACTTTTATTATGTGGGACGTTAATGCAACTGGTCTGTGTTTCTTTGCCAATGCTTTGCTCCCTCTCTTGTGTAGGAGAGCTATATCTGCTGATTTAAGCATTTCTGGTATCTCCCCTGTGCCCAAGCTTTTTCTCCATACTAGACTGAGTGCCTGTGAAACTGGGACTGCATTTCTTTATAAATATTGCATTCCATGAGTATGGACCCGGGGCTGAGTGCATGGGCATGTTGTAAATTTTTAAAAAAATCTGTAGAGTTCGTGTTGATGTCTGTAATATTTTGAGGGGTTTGGATATCATGCATAAAGAAGCTGTTTATTGGGTTGCTAAACATGCTCTCATACTTGTTTTTTTTTAGGATTTCACCAATTTCATTTGTCGTCCTCTGTGTATGAACCGTAGCTGTAAGAATAGATCCAATGCTGACGGAGGTATTTTTTATTTCAGTTTCGCATATGTGAAGAAATGTTTTGTTTTTCTTTCTCTTGCATGGCTTTGATACAGTGTCACATGAAAGACTGATTAAAAAATAGAGGCTCACGGTATTGTGGGTGCTATATTAGGAAATATGACTTTCAGGGGTTATTAATGGGAAACGTTGAACAATTAAATATGAATTATTGCATTTCTTCGATTTGATATAATTGGTTCATTTTGTTCTATTTCTTCAATCTCACTATTTCAGTTATTCTTTCTTCGTAGGGATAGTCGTGTCTGCTTAAGCATTTCCCTTATGTTCTCTGTTGTGCTGTCTGCGTTCTCTTTCTATGCTGTTCATCTTTTCTGGCATTCCGCAAAGAAACATTGCTTCAGACAGACTTTATGCTGGTGAAGTGAATAGTTATATTCCTTGTGTTGGATTATTATTGCCTAGAACGGCATCCCATTGAATGTTAGTTACAATTTTTATTTTTTTCCCAATCTATCCTTCTATTATTAAAACTGAATTTATTGATTTACCCTTTCTTGATTATTTTTTAAGACGTATTACGAGTGTAAATGTTAGATTGTACTTCATTGAGCATGTGGTCTGCGTATGTTGTATCTGAAAATGTATCTGCCTGATTATTTTTTCGTTGTTTGTGAAGACCAGATTTAGAATATTTTCGTTCCTAGTTGGCTCCGTTATCTGCTAGTTGAGTGTAAATTTGTCATAGAATCTAAGTAGTTCTCTGGCCTGTGGTTGGTTATTTCCAGGATTATAACTTGGGATCCATATTTCACTATTCATGTAGTCTTTCATGTGGGTTTCTGTAAATGCACCAAATATTGAGTTCGATTCTATTAGAAGACCATTTATGAACTTAACTTTACTTCTTGATCTTGACTTTAGGCCTTGTATGTTTGCAAATATCAATAATTTCCCATATTGCGTGTCACTTCAGGTGGGCTTTCGTAGGTCTCCCCCCCCCCTCTCCACCCTGGTCTAGGGTGTGCTGTTTTGGTAGTGGTTCGTCCAGTGTTGGTAGTGGTTCGTCCAGTTATGGTAGTAGTGCGGTTGTTGTGTGGTGTAGTACCTTTGTACTTGTTGATGATTTGTGTTCCAGTCTTGTGGTATCTCCCTTGATTTTTTATTGTTGCCGCCGAAGGTGGCTAGTTTATTGTGCACCCCATACTCATCCTGTGAGCGGTAGCGCAAAAGAATTACAAAGGGCACAAAAGGTCTTTATCAGACCTCATCTTAGATTATTACATAAACAATTTCTTCAATCCTTCACACCTTATAGATACAATGTCAGCTAGTTACAGAGAAAGTGCTATTACAAGAGCTACATATTTACAGTAAGTCATCATACATTAATGGTAGGTCTTGTCGTTAATACATAATACTTTAGCCAATGGGGATATTACAGAGTCATAGGGGAGCTTCTGTTTATTATTAGTCCTCACAATACACTACTTGTTTCTGAATCTCATATGTCGTTCATCTACTGGAAGCAAAATGTGGGTACAGTGCAAGGATTTCAGGTAATTTATCCATGGTAATAAGATAGGTTGCCATATCATACAGAGTGAGCTTAGATTTATCTCTAAAAGGCTCAATTTTACAACAATCCAAGATATAGTGTTCGAGTGTGTGTCCCTGCCTATGTCCACACACTTTACACTTTACTTCATCTAGATCCCTATACAAGCCGAATTGCCAGAGATACTTGTAGCCAAGTCTTATACGAGCTGTGACAACATCTGTTAGTCTACTGACTTTGTTACTTGCCCCATACACATGTTTTACTTCACACATTTCATTGTGATGAACAATGGACCTGCTAGTTCCAGTTTGCACTGTTCTACTTTCTTCAAATCCATCCAGGAGTTCTCGTCTAATGACACTTTTAAGGGACCTATTTGATAACTCAAGATTCCGTTCAATACTGTCTTTATTTACTGCAGCCTTAGCAAGGGCGTCACCTTTGTCATGTTCCTGCATGCCAATGTGAGAAGGATTCCACAACATTTGTATATTTACCCTCTTGCTAAGTATTCTTATATATCTACGTCTAGCTTCCAAGACAAGCACGTATCTCCCTTCCCCTCTGTAATCCTGCAGTGGTTCCATCTGACTGTTCCTCTCTCTTATATGTTCAACTCTGTTTCTACCTTCCTCTAAAAAATTTCTAGTAGTATCATATTGATCTTCCCGTCTATAACGCTGTGTACCTCTCACGTGGAATTCCGGACACTGAAGATTGTAAAATTTTTTGTCCCCAATTGAAAATTTGCATAGTTCATAGTGGAGGTATTTTGCACTCTGTTCCAAAACGGCATGTACCCCTCGCCAACATGTTCC